CCCTAGGTAGTACAGCCTACCACACACCTAGACTGTATGGTCCAGCCTGTTGCTCTTGGGCTACAAAAGCCTGTGCAGCATGTTACTAAGTCCAGCACAAGAAAAACAATGCAACCAAGAGACACGGTGAACCTAAGATACTTGAGGCTGTTGTTGGGATAACACAATGTGCTGTTTTACAGCAATTTTTTTTTAAGTTAGAAAGGGTACACTCTATGAGAACAATGGAAATACAGTAAATACACAAAGCATTAACATAGACATTTATTGTCACTATCAAGTGCACTGGCCTGTACAACTGGCAGCGCAAGAGGTTTGTTTACATGAGCATCACCACGAACATGGGGCAATGTGCTGTGCTACAAAGTTATGACATCACTAGGTGACAGAAATTTTTCAGCTCCAATAGAATCTTACGGGACCACTGTAATACGAGCTCAGGTGTTGACCAAAACACCAGTGTGCAGCACATGAGTATAACAGTAGGAGACTTCAACATCCCATTTTGAATAATAAATCGAACGAGCAGACATAAAATCAACAAAGAAACCATGGACATGATTAACGCTGTAGATCAAATGGACCAAACAGATAAATACAGAATCTTTAACCCAACAATAATAAAGTAAACATTCATCTCAAGCACATGCAAACTATTCTCCAGGAGAGATCACATGTTAGGGTTCACAAAATAAGTTTTTACAAATTGAAAAAAACTAAAATCTTACCAAGTATCTCTGCTAATGAAATTACATGAAACTGGAAATCAATAGCTAAAGGTAAACTGAACATTTCACAAAGAGGTGGGAATTAAGCAACACGCTTTTGAATAGCCAATGGGTCAAAGAAGAAATCAGAAGTTAGGAAACATCTTTAGGAAACAACTGAACTTAGCAAACAGAAGTATACTAACAAAAATTAGAACATAATTAAATGAAATAGAATAGAAAAACAAAAGGAAAAAATCAATAAAACTAAGAGTTGTTTTTTAAAGATAAAATTGACAACCCTTAGAATAATGAAGAGAAAATGTACAAATAAACACAATCAGAAATGAAAGAGTTATAACAACTAATGCCACAAAATAAAACAGATCAAAAGAGACAACTATAAAAAATTATAAGCCAACAAAATGCATAACTTATTTAAAAAGGATAAATTCTTAGGAACATGTAACCTACTAAGACTAAATCAAAAAGAAAAAGAAAATCTGAACACTCCTGTAATGACTAAGAAAAATGAATGAGTAATCAAAAACCTCCCAACAAATAAAAGCCCATGACCAGATGGCTTTACTGGAAAATTCTCCCAAACATTTAAAACAGAATTAATGCCAATCCTTCTCAAATTCTTCCAAAAACCTGAAGAGGAAGAAGTACTTCCAAACACATTTCATGAGGCCAGCATTGCCTTAATACCAAAGCCAGACAAAGACACTACAAGTAAAGAAACCTACAGGCCAATATCCCTGATAAGCATTAGATGTAAAAATCCTCAACAAAATACCAGCAAACTGATTTCAAAGAGATTTAAATCTGGGATGCAAGGATGGATCAATATATAAAAATCAATTAATGTGATGTATTTCATTAACAAAATGAAGGATAAAATTGTGTGTCATCACAAGCTTTTGATAAAATTCAATGCCCCTTCATGATAAAAACTCTCAATAAACTAGCAACAGGGGGAAATTAGTCAACATAACAAAGGCCATATATGACAGGTACACAGCAAATAGACTCAATGGTGAAGCACTGGAAGCTTTTACACTAAGATCAGGAACAAGGTAATGATGCCCACTCTTAACACTTCTGTTCAATACAGTACTAGGTGTATAATTAGGAAGAAAGGGGAGGAGAGGGGAGAGAAGGGACAAAAATCAGAAAGAGAAAAAGTAAAATTGTATCTGCTTCATCATAGTATGATTTTACACATAGAAAAACCTAACAATCATATAAAAACCTGCTAGAACTAATAAATTAATCCAGTGAAGTTTGAGGACAATCCCATTTACAATAACATAAAAAATACTTAGGCATAAGCTTAATTAAGGAAGTGAAAGACTTGTATACTAAAAATTGTAAAATATTGATGCAAAATTAAAGATGACACAAAGAAATAGAAGGACATTTTGTGTATATGAATGGAAAGATTTAATGTTGTTGGGATGTTGATACTACCCAAAACAATCTGCAGGTTCACTGCCATCTCTACCAAAATCACACTGGGTTTGTTTTTGTTTTTGTTTTTACAAAATAAAAAAAGAAATCTAAAATTCATAGGGCTACCCCAAGGCTGAGAAAGTACAGAACTAGTAGGGAGCTATTAACACCTGCACTCAGCACAGCCTTGCCCAGACTGGGCTCCTGCAACAATTAAGAAATAGGGCAAACCACATGCATGTCAAGCAGCCCCACCCAGATCAGAAGGGCACACAGGAAATTCACTCATTCTGGCTGGGCTGCAACCCAGGCTATGCACATACCCACCTTGACTACAACTGGTCTGCCCAAACCATCCATCACACAGTCTACAGAGGTTACTTTTTCTAAATGGGAAGAGAGAGCTAATTCATCTAACTCATAGGAACAAATACAGACAGTCAAATAAAATGGGGAAACAGAAGAACATGTTCCAAATGACAACAAGAAAAAACTCTGCAGAAAAACTCTAATGAAATGGAAATAAACAATATGCCTGATAACGAATTCAAAGAAATGGTCATAAGGATTCTCAACAAACTTGAGAGTAGAATAGGGAAACTGAGACCACTTCAAAAAAGAGTTAGAAAATATAATAAAAAGCAATCAAAGTAAACACTATGATAACTAAAATGAAGAATATATTAGAAGAAATTAGCAGTGGATCAATTAATACAGAAGAATAAATTAGTTACCTGAAAGTAAGAATAGTGAAAATCACATAGTCAGGACAGCAAAAAAAAAGTTTTAAAAATTAGGGCTGTATAAGAGACCTCTGTGACAACATCAAGCACTCTTAATATTTGCATTGCACAGATTCCAGAAGGAGAAGAGAGAGAGACAATGAGCCAAAAAGCATATTTGAAGAAATAGCTAAAAATTTTCCTCATCTGGGAAAGAAAACAGACATCCAGGTACAAGAAACACAGAGAGTTCCAAACAAAATAAACCCAAATGGGCCCACACCAAGACATATTTTAATTAAAATGGCCAAGGTTAAGGATAAAGAGACAATCTTGAAGGCAACAAGAAGGAAACAGCAAGTCACATACAAGGACAACCCCTTAAAGCTATCACCTGATTTCTCAGCAGCAACTTTATAGGCCAGAAAGGAGTGCCAGGAAACATTTAAAGTGCTGAAAGAAAGTAGCCTACACCCTATAATACCATATCTGGAAATGTTATCATTTGGAATTGAAAGAGAGATGAAGAGTTTCTTAAACTAGCAAAAACTAAAGGAATTTACCATCACTAAACAGATTTTACAAAAATTTTAAAGGTCTTCTTTATAAAGAATTGAAAAGGCTATAACCAGAAATAAGAAAATACAGGGGGGAAAGCTCACTGGTAAGGGAAAATATATAATAAACACAGTGAATCAATCACTTAAAAAGCTTATATGGAGGTTAAAACATAACAATAGTAATCTTAACTATAAGTGCTATAGAATAAACAAGGGACACACAAAGCAAAAAGATACAAAATGTGACATCAAAAACAAAGTGCAATTGAGAAAACTGTGTATCTTGTATTTTGGGAATGAAATGTTCTTAAAATGTCTATTAAGTTGATCTGGTTTAATGTGGCCTTTAAGGCTGTCATTTCCTTACTAGTTATCTGTGTGGATGATTTTCCATTGAGGTGGTCCCCTACTATTACTGTACTGCTGTTAATACCTGAATCTATATGCATTAATACTTGCTTTACATAAGTAAATGCTCCTATATTGGGTATGTTGGTATTTATAATTGTTATATCCTCTTCTTGGATGGATCTCTTTATCATTCTATAACGTCTTCTTTGTCACTTTTTACATTCTGTGTTTTAAAGTCTATTTTGTCTGATAGAACCATTGCTACCCCAGCTTTCTTTTCACTTCTATTTTCATGGAATATCTTTTTCCACCCCTTTTCTTTCAGTGGTATCTTTCTTTCACTGTGAAATGAGTCTCTTGTAGACAGCATAAATGGGTCTTTTTTTAATTCATTCTGCTACCTTATGTCTTTTGATTGGAACATCTAGTCTGTTTACATTTAAAGTTATTTTTGATCAGTATGATCTTATTGCCATTTTCTTAATTTTTTGGTTGTTTTCTTCTCTTGATCACTTTTGATTTGCTGGTTTCCTTCTGTGTTTAGGTTCCTTTCTCTTTATTTTTGTGTTTTACACAGGTTTTGCTCTGTGGTTATCATGAGATTAATATATACCCATATATATGTATAGCAGTCTATTTTACACCAGTCTGAATATGACTATCATTAAAAATTCAACAAATAACACGTGTTAGCGAGGAAGCCAGAGTGCCCTGCCACTCAGTGGAATAAACTGTGGGAGTCTAGAGAGAGGGAGCCAAAGAGAACTGAATCCCAACTATGGCACAATGCCAGCTATGTGACCTGGAGCGAGTCATCTAGCCTCTCCATGCCTAGATTTCCTCTGTGCAAAACAGAGAAAATAAATGTACCTACCTACAGTTTCTATGAGAAGGTTAAACACATCAGTGCATGGAACAATACTCAACTCAAATGAACCTCCACAGAAGTATTCCCTATTTTATAGCTAAATGGAGGGAATGTGAATGAACTCACGTGCAGCATGCTTTGAATCACAATCTTTAAAACTATGAACCACACGTTTGTCCAATATGTTCCTAGAAAACGTTCTAACAAATCTATACTTACATACATTCAGTATACTCAGATTAAATTTCCTTCTTAAAGCAATGAGCCTAGATGCGTACAGTTACAAGTATTGCGTATGTATTATATACTCACACTTAAAATTCCTTCTATTACTCACATTCTCATAGAGAGCTTGCAGAGTCTCCAGATCAACCACAGAATTGTCCAAGTTCACAACAGCTGTGAAAAAAAAAAGAAGATGAAAGAATATAAGTTCATTAGCACAAGCCAGCTGTGAAAAGGTGTCTGGCTATCCTGAGCAGCAATGATCATCTCTAAAACAGCCAGGGTTCATGGCCAGTGGTCAGTGGGTGTGGGGCTCTAACTTCCATGCATTCACTTGCCCCCTACAAAGACCATGCGCAAGGACTTTTAGCGGGGGCAGAGGTTAAGGGTCAGAGCTGCCATTTGCTCCACAAATACAAAATCTCACAAAATGGCCCAGTCAAATGGCAAAGATAAATGTGAGCGTCTTCCAAGAACCAACTGCCTGAATTTGAAAACTGTGCTGAATACAGAAAATCAGGCAAATCACTCCTGCTACTTTCCCGTCCTAGTTTTCCATGGCACACGTCTGCCTATTTATCTAAGACATACAACAAAGGTTCATTCTAATAGTTAAACTGGTGGACTTTTTATACAATGAGAAATGTATTTCCTGTTATAATTTTTTTAAAGATTTTATTTCTTTATTTTTAGAGATGGAAAGGAGGGAGAAAGAGAGAGAGAGAGAGAAACATCAATGTGTGGTTGCTGGGGGTCATGGCCTGCAACCCAGGCATGTGCCCTGACTGGGAATCGAACTTGCGACACTTTGGCTCACAGCCCATGCTCAATCCACTGAGCTATGGCAGCCAGGGTTTATAATTTTAAAATTGTTATACTAAAAAAGTAATTCTTGGCTTGTGGTATTGAGATTAGCAGAGATGCATTCTTAAAAATCCACTTTTAATATACAAACTACCCATGCTTATACAAGGAAGAAACGGAATCAAAAATCAAACATTGGGGGTATGTTCTTAAATGCATTCTTTGGCCTGAGAATTGTAAGGGATTTTGGAGTCAGTGTGTTTTGTAGCTGAGTTTGGACATAGGTAAAGTGAAAGCATTCTGTGTTACCTACATACATGTTAGTTAGACATGAGGTGAATTCGCCATGATCAGGTATGTGCTGAGTAGCCAGTGAAGCTCTTGTGGGATTACAGATTTTCGGAAGAAAACTCACAAAGTGAGTCATCACAACTTGGTTGTGTGTTTTTTGGTAACTGGGGCATTTTACATTGTCTTACCTCTCAAAGTTTCAAGTACATGAGCCATGTTCTAGTTGACTTGGGCAAACTCCCAAGAAAGAATTAAGAAAGACAAGTGGGAAATTGAAACATACGATGGGTGAGAATGCTAACCAAGCTAATTTAGCTTTTCTGCTTGGAGCTGGGAACTGAGCCCGTGATTCACCCACAAATATTATAGCAAGTGGAATATGATACTTCGATCCTAATAATATTCCGCTATCTCCATTTCCAAAAAATTAGGTCTCAAATATCAATCTAAGAATTTGATTAGGATTCGCAGACAAATCTTTTCACTCTTTAGACCACATAAGGCAAACATATGACCGACTAATGTTTCAAAGTAGTAAAAACACAGCCCAACTAACTTTAACAGTATTTCAAAAAATTAAATAAAAGTGATTAACAAATGACTTTCACTGGAAGTCATGTGGCTATAAATGATGTAACAAAATGCCTAAAACCCAAATACCATTAGCAAGTTCCTGTATGAAATTACTCCCTTTCGATTTGAACGGAGTCTACCCCTTAAAGAAAATCTTAGAGTGAACCCAAAGGTCTTATTTCAAAATTCATTAGCTAATAATCCAGTATTTCTGCATTCCTCTGGCGATACAGAAAGAGATTGATGGGGAAAACCATACAAGAAATGCTAGTAGTCTACTTAGCGTATAATTTCATTCTCGGAACAAGAAAAAGAAACACAATAAAATCATTCATACTCAAGTGAAAACTTATAAAAGATACACTTGTCTTCTGCCTTTATCCATCATTTTAAAACATAATATTAATCCTACAAGTTTTCCCCACATGCAACCTTACTTGTGAATCTACCAAGACTTCTCACCTTTTAAACTCAGGCAGTACCAGCTACCGAAGAATATCTTAATAAATGTCATACAGTCCTAACCATGATATATGGCCCTAAGCAAGTCCACAAGTTTCTAACCCATGAAACCTCGTTTTTTTTAATCATCCACAGAAAACCTCAATAGAAAGCAACTCCATACAATTTCCCTATAGTTGGCTTTACACTTGAGAGATGCTGACATAATTCAGTGAGAATCAGTGGTATTGACAAAACAATAGAGTCATGTTTAAGTAGCTGGAAATAAGGAAGATTAGCTGCTGGCAGATGAATGAAGCAGTGATAGAGTTCTAGATGGGAAGTAAAGGTAAAAGATGTAATTTGGGAAAAGTTAAGGGTGTTGAGGTGCTATATTGCTTCAGTATAAAAAGCACATTTTAATATTTTAGGAATCAGGATTCAGACTAAAATTCATGTGACTAAATTTTTAGTGGTGTCTTCCTGGCCCTCCCTCCTTTAAAATCTGTGATAAAGTAGGTAGTACAGTTTTAACTGTTAAAATTCCAAAATCAAGGAAATAATATAACGCATGCATTCATGCAATCAACAAATATAAGATATTTCTTACAACTCTGCGACCCTCCTAGCTCACTAGACTAGTTGACAGTTATTGAGTACCATGCTTTGGAAAGGGAGCTATTGGAGGTGGACACACTCAGTTACCCAGCCCTGCAAAGCTGCAAACAACTGGTTATGGGTAGGGACCGCCCAACATAGATTTCTACTTACAGCCATGGTAAGGGATTTATATACATATGTATGTGTGTAAAATTTTTTCAGGTGGCATGGGATTCAAGAAAAAAGATATTCAGAAATCTCAGGTTTGCAATATTTCAACTTTCTTTAAGGGGACACCTGGATATTGAGATTCTATCAAGACGAGAGAGTCCCTCTATCCCCTCAAAGGGGAATACGATTTTCATGAAATAGTTTGCTGAAGTGGAAGAAACGTAGACCACGGGATCAAAGTGAACTGGGCTTAAATTCACATTTTATTTGCTGCTACTTTATTTCATGTTCTTTAACTTGACAAGTTTTTGGTTTCTTTGTGGGGAGGGCAGGGAAGGGAATAGTAGAAAACACTGGCACTGCTTTGATTTTTGTGGGGACCGAAGGCTGTAGCAAGTAAAAGGATCCGGCAGGTGGTTGGTGAATAGTCCTGCATGCACCTTATTATCCAACCCAAACTTCACAAACTTTCTTTCTTTTCTGTTTGTATTTTAGTGCCCTCACATACCAAAGCGAAAAATTCCAACTGCATCTATCGAGGGCTGGCACTCTTAACCTGAGGGGAAAACTACCGGAACTAAGCATACAGCCTGATAAACCGCCATGGGGTGTTTAATTATACTCTTTCTTCTGTACTCAAAATTTAAACTACCAAGCATCAGACTTCGACTGCAGAACATAAATAAATTCAAAAGTCAGTCATGAATCTTTCATTCATATTAGTTTATTCTCTAATAGTCAAGTGCATGCTAATGTGATTATGCTTTTGATGAGAGGCCAAAGATTTCACACTCACTTCCCACTCTTGGCTCTGAGACACTCAGGAACACCCACCACTGTCTGGGATCCAGCACATTCCCACCCATCTATCCCCCTGCAGGTATATAAAGCTGTTTTTTTTTAATAATTTATTTTTTTAAAGATTTTATTTATTTATTTTTAGAGAGGGAAGGGAGGGAGAAAGAGAGAAAGAGAGAGAAACATCAATGTGCGGTTGCTGGGGGCCGTGGCCTGCAACCCAGGCATGTACCCTGACTGGGAATCGAACCTGCAACACTTTGATTCATAGCCAGCACTCAATCCACTGAGCTATGCCAGCCAGGGCTTATAAAGCTGTTTTAATTAAGCCAGGAGTATCTGTTCTGTTTTATGTGGAAGGGTACAAGGACGAAGAAGGTATTGATAGAAAACTTTGATTTTTTTAAGATTTATTTATTTATTTTTAGAGAGAAGGAAGGGAGGGAGAAAGAGAGAGAGAGAGAAACATCAATGTATGGTTGCCTCTCACGTGCCCCCACTGGGGACCTGGCCCACAACCCAGGCATGTGCCCTCACTGGGAATCGAACCAGTGATCCCTTGGTTCTCAGCCCGCGCTCAATCCACTGAGCTACACCAGCCAGGACAAAAACTTTGATTTTTTAAATGCACATTAAAAAGATGATTCATTTATTTGTAAAGTAGTCTAACTTCCCAGGATTAAAACCCATGGAGATTTTCATATTTTCTCTAAAAACTTGTGAATGACCATGTGTTAATATTCACTCCTGGATTAAACAGACAGCAATTTTATATTTTTTAGCCTAAAAGTTTTTGACGAAGCCAAGGATGTGATAAGGAAGAAGAATATAGTACTCTTCCTGGCTTTTCGATCAACACGCTTCCTCAGTGTCTTTGATGAAGACACTGAGCTTCTCTCAGGCTTTATCAAGTGGGATAATAACTTCATTAGCATAAGTTGATCACGTGGATAGAATAAGCCATTTTACAGTAAAAAGGATCATTGAAGAAGCCTTGGAATAATTTAGGTAATTAATTTTAAAATGTATATTATCTGTGAGCAAATCAGTTAGAAACTAGAGGCAGAGCTGAGAATGTGCTAGATTGAAATTAGGCTCAGAATTAAACATTTGCCTTCAGTCATCAAAACTTGCAAACATAAATAGCATTTTTTGCATGATCTCTATGGGTACGCACTCACTAAGATCCAATGCCTTTTTCATTAAACCATATTGTTACAAAATACAGAGTGATATAGCCTACCTAACACTCAAATAGTCGAATTAACCTAGGGTATTAAAAAATATCTCAAAATAAAATATTCAAACCAACCAATCTATTTCCTTTTGACTTTAAAATGTTGCGTTCCATAAAAAGAGTTACACAAAGAGCAATCCAAAACAACCAGAGGTTAGAGACCCGCACAGGCGACAGCTGTGTGCCACACACATGACAGTGTGCACACAGGCCCATAAGCAGGCGACAGGCATGCATCCCCCTCGCATTCCCTGGACAT